CTGATAAAATTATAGTGATAATTTTACCTTTATGATTACTACTTTAGAAACTGTCATCTTATGGCCACCTGTGTGATTTCTCAATAAACATTTTATGAATATTCCAGAAAATATAAACATTTCCTAACAAATCTAATCTTTCCAGAAAACATAAATGGTTCCTAACGAATTTAATCTTTAAATGTTAATCGCTTCAAAACTTCCACACAAGAGGTTTATTTACTTGGGGAACTCCTTGCTGAAGGGCAAAGAGACCAGAGTCCAAGATGCCAGTGGAAGTGTACTGTGTTTTTACCACCTAGGACTCTTCAGCCACCTCATCTCTTAGTTACTCAGTACAAGTCTTTCATCTTAGGCTCCCAGGCTTCATTTAGTCAATGAAGAGAAGTCATTGTTCTAATGTTCTCAGCTATTAGGCTCAGGGCTCCAAGAGCCTACTAGCTGCCAGCTTCTCTGGTCTCCATTGCCATTTGACTCCGGAATTGAGTCAGGATGACTGAATAAAGTTTATGCTAATTTCTTCTCATCTCAGTGGCCTCTAAAAATTCACTTCAGAAAGCCCAAAGCTATTTGTGGAAAAGTGAATTGGTGTATGTTTCCTGATACTTTAGCTAACACCACTTCCAGTGTACTGGTGAGTTTGTTTCTTTGACTTAGTTGTTTTGATTAGACCATCTTCTACTATGTTGAATAGTAGAAGTGAGAAATAGCATTTCCTTCTTTCTGATCTGAGAAGAAAAGCTTTCAGTTCTCCACATTAAGTATGATACAAATTGTAGACTGCTCATGCATGTCTTTGACTATGTTGAGGTCATTCCTTTATATTCCCAACTTATTGAGACCACTGTGTCTACACATGAGGAGATTATATAATTTTGTACCCTTTATTCTGTAACTGTAAATGCCACATTAATGAATTGTCATATGTAGAGCAATCCTTGAGTTACATGGATAAATCCCAATTGGTTACAGTATATAATCCTTCTATGTGCTGATGCATTTGAAATGCTAACAATTTGTTCAATTCCTTTTACATTCAGGTTTATTAGGAATATTGGCTAATAGTTTTCTTTTGTAGATTTGTCTTTGGCTGGCTGCCATTTTGTGTGTGTGCCTGTCCTCTTCCAATTTGTAAAAGACTTTGAGGATTGGTATTCTTTAAATGTTTGCCAGAGTTCACTAATGAATCTATCATTCCTACGTGTGTGTGTATGTGTGTGTGTGTGTGTGTGTGTGTGTGTGTGTGTGTGTGTGTGTTGTGGTTTGTTTTTTGTTTTTTTCTTTGTTACATAGTTATCTGTATTGATCCAATCTCCATATTAATTATATATACATAAATTGGTTCACTCTGTCCATGATCTAGCCCTGGTAGATTGATATATTAACAATTTATCTGTATCTTCCAGATTTCCCAATATATTCATGGACAATTGGTTGAAATAGACATATATATGGAATATATATGTATATAAAATTATTTATGTATCGCTCTTGCTCTTCTTTTCTAGCTCTCTTGCTCTTGCTCTTCTAGCTCTCTTGCTCTTTCTCTCTCTGTTCATTTCTAGCTCTTGCTCTTCTAGCTCTCTTGCTCTTGCTCTTCTTTTCTAGCTCTCTTGCTCTTCTTTTCTAGCTCTCTCTGCCCTCTCTCTGCTCTTTTCTAGCTCTTTCCTCTCTTTCCCAGCTCTCTCTCATTGCCAGGCCTTTCTCAGCCAAGTGGAGTGCCAACCTTGCCTGGTCCCAGCAGGTCTACTGAATAAACCTACCCCTTACCTGAATACCACGTGCGTGCTGGTGCTGTTCTTACTCGGTTACCTCTTTTTAAAAACCTAATAGAGTGTTGTCCGCTGCCTGTGGCATCCAAAGCTGAACCAAATTATGGTTGGAACTGGAAATGGATTGGCAAAAGTCTATTATGACCCCAACAAGAGTCAGAGGGGAGCAAAATTATGTGTGGTTAAAACTCAGCGGAAAGCAAAACAAGCTGAGACTCTAACCCAGGACTACATCATCACTCCTCATGCCTTGCCTATGTTCCCTGAGCCCCGCCAACGGAGCACGAGGAAGCAGCTGGAGAAGGACAGACTGGACCCCCTGAAGTCACACAAACCTGAGCCTCCTGTAGCAGGCCCAGGTCGAGGTGGCAGAGTTGGAACCCATGGAGGAACTCTGTCATCCTACATTGTGAAAAATATTGCTTTGGACAAGACTGATGACAGTAATCCTCGGGAAGCCATTTTGAGTCATGCCAAAGCAGCAGAGGACAACCCATATTGGGTTTCTCCAGCATATTCCAAGACTCAGCCCAAAACCATGTTTGCCCAAGTTGAATCTGATGATGAGGAAGCAAAGAATGAACCAGAATGGAAAAAACGTAAAATTTGAAGGATCTTTTTTGAGAGCTGTTTTCATGAGGGGGAGGAGATGGGACAGGATCATTATTTTGTTTTCTTTTGTTGTTGTTATTGTTTTTGGTTATGAAATAAAAAACTTTTATGAAAAAAAATTATTTATGTATCAATATGTATACATGTACACATACAAAGGTTTCTTGCTCAAAGCTAACATTCTACAACGAGCCACAGCTCTACTCCAGACTTTTCTCTTTCATTGATGGTTATTTGGATATAAGGTCTCATGAACTTTGCTGCCAAGACTGCATTTGAACTGTGATGTTCAGATCTCAGCTTCCTGAGTAGTTAGGGTTATAAGCCACTGGCACCTGGCTCTAACTTTAAGTTTTGTTAATGATGTAACCTGTTTCTGTACTTTATTCCTATAACTGTAGGATATTGATAAATAGATCACTATTTGTTTCAGAAACAATAATCAATTATGAAGATAAACATAATGTCATGTATGAACTTGTTCGTGATGCAGCAGATAGAAAAATTTTTTCTTGAGGAGTCTGACATAGTCCATAGTTGTTGACCAAGTACAAAATTTGAATAAAAGGTGCTGGACAGCAGTTGTGGGAATTAATTGTGACAACCTCACTTTCTCCTGGCAAATCTTCTCAACCATTATCATGTAAGCTTACTGCATACACAGAATACTGTCATGCTCATTGCTGATCCTTAAAAACAAAGGAGAGACGGACTCAGCATATGGTCTATCACCTTGACATAGGAAATCTAAGAAATAAGTATCAACATAAAATAAGATTTAGAAAGACTAAAAAGCAGCTAAAGCACTGGCCTACTCACACCCCAAGGAGGAAATCCCCCAAAGAAATCACCAATTGCATAATCACAGCATCAGAAATAACATTGTGCAGAATGGTAATCCACAGTTACTAAGCTATATCATGTACAATTAAAAATAATAACCAAAAGAATAGAATAGGGGTTGTACAATTAATAAAATGCAATTAAAGTCTAGGACAGGCCTCAAATATCGGACTTAACAAACACTTGAAAACAGCCAATGTAATCATGTTTGAAAACTGAAAGAATGAATACATGTTTAAAAATAGAAGAAAAGATAGCAGCAAGGAATTCTTGTACAAAAATATCAACAGAATATTTAGATGTCATGTAAAAGAACTAAATTTAAATTGTGGAGTTAAAATACATAATAATAATGAAGGTAAGAAAAAATCCCAGATAATAAACAAAAATCAGAAAAGAATATAAAGGCTCCTAAATTTTTGAATGGACAAAGCATACTATAGAATACTACTGAACAACAAAAATAAAAATAATAGTCATACAGTTAATATGAGTAGGTTTCCAAAATATTATGGTGAGATCCCAAATGAAAAGTTTATGATTTCTATGAAATGTCCAACAGAAAAATATTAGGGGCAGAAAAAATAGTTATTTCTTCTAGCTGGAAAATAAACCAGAATAAACTATAAATGGACACTGGGGTATTTGTTTAGATGATAAAAATTCTAAATTTGACAATTTTAACTAAATCATTAAGAAGAGTATTTAAAATGAATGAGTTCATTTGTAAGCTTGTGAGTTACGTAAGTTGCACATTAATAAAATAGCTGAAATTTCCGTATTTCATACAAATATGAAGAGGTGGCTTTCTCAGGATAAAAGTGTTTTACATTTTTTGCAAGTAATCATAATACCCACCATAGATTAATATTGTTTTATATTTAGAATTCTTGCATTCTATTCAACCCTAAATGTACATCCATATAATTTGTCATTTTGTGAGTCAGAAAATAAGAAACAACAGGGTACAAGTAAATCTATAGACACTCAGATTAAATAATTAGCCCAAAGACAGACACTGAAATAGCTTGACTACTAAATTCATAAACTCAACCAATGTGTTTATAGTCTAGTTGTATGTGTTTGTAGTTATGTTTGTTTTATATACATGTACGTATGGGTATATTTGGGTATATGTGGGTATAAGCAACATAGATTAAATGGGATGTAATGCTATAGCTAATAGAGTTCACCTTCATAACAATCAGCTAAGTATGTAAACAAACGAAGCAAATGTAAATGATTAATTATTATTAAGAATTAAATTTGGAATATTTGTAAACAGTCAAATAATATATTTATTTTCAGTATTAAATTCTAAACAAATGATCTCCATCATTTGCTATCTGCTTAAGAAGAGCAGGAGATTTCATAGATTTTTAACAGGTTAAAGTGACTTTTGTAACATAGTCTGACCATAAGATAAATGTGATACAATGCATTCACATTTTCATTAATAAAGTGGAATAGCTTACACTTTAAAACTTACATGTGTCTTGATAACCACTCTACGATGCATTTTAGTAACATAAATGGCAAAAGCCATCAGCAAAGAGAATAGTATCTTTCCTTTAACCTATGAAAAATTTATCCATTGTGCATACTTAAACTGAAATACATTCTACAGCTTTATTTTGCTCATTAGAAGAGGTGTTTTGTGGACACATGCATAAATTAAATAACTTTAATATGTAAATCTTCATAGTGAAAGAGTTTTCATAGAGTGATTATCTAGGACAAGTTAACAAAATAAGATTTGGTTAGAAATCTTACCACTCCAATGGAAAAGTAATTGTTGATGATACTGTAAGGCACTGGGTCTCCCTTCTCATCTTTGTCATTAGGAATTACTTCAAACTTCCACCTGTCCAGCATAATTTCTGTGCTAATTTCAATGTCTCTCAGGATCTTCATGAGATTCTCTCCTTCATAACCTTATCAAAAAAACAAATCATCTTGAAACAAAAACTAACCAGGAAACAAATGCATTTGTATACATTTAAGTGTGTTTATTCGTATATAGTACTGTAAACCTAAATAATGCATTTAAAGATAACTCTGACAAATAGAGAACTCATTATAATCTTAATAACCTCATACCAAGATTTTATTCTTAGCTTTTCTGTGTTAAGACATATTTTTCTTTTGAGGTATAAATTTACAGTATAATTATTTGCTTAATAGGAATTTCTATTGAATACTTATACACACTGTAAACCCATATACAGTAAAACCATAGACACATGTAAAACCATATACACCATTGTAAACCCATAAACAGCAATTTACCAGCTATTCCTGGAAGAATAGTTCTCAGATTTTATTGTAAACCAGTTATTTGAGAGTTCATTTCAAATGATTCTCTGCTCCAGTCCTACTCCCTGCTCGGGTCCCAACTTTGGGGATTTCCATTCAGCATATTTAGGGTAGGGTCAGACCAGTCTGTGTTTAATAAGCTCCCCAAGGATTCTGATTCACACGTAATAGATTCTTTCAATGTTCTCTCAGTGAATTTGGATGCTAAAAATATTTAACATTCAGCTCCGGCTTCTTTTGTAGTCTCTGGTACTGTTAACTCATCTTCAGTATGTACAAATATTGGCTCCTTGAAATATTTCAAGACATCATTTTGAAATTTTCTCTTTGCATATGCTGCTCTAGCTACACTATTTCAGTTATAGTTCCCTAACTTTATGTCAAAACTCTCACTCTTTCTCAGTCTTTGAACTTAATGTTTCCTTGGTTTATGAAATCTACACCCAGTTTGATATGTCATTTCTCCATTAGGCTTATCTTTGTATAAGACCTTTTCTTCTATCAATATAGGCTTTGTTTTACTTCTTAATAGAAAATCTTACATTCACATGTATTCCATATGCACTAGATTTTATTATTTTTTATTTTTTTTATTTTTTTGGGTCCAGTCGTGGGGCCTGAACTCTGGGCCTGGGCACTGTCCCTCAGCTCTTCAGCTCAAGGCTAACACTCTACCACTTGAGCCACAGTGCCACTTCCGGCTTTTTTCTTATGTGGTGCTGAGGAATCGAACCCAGGGCCTCAAGCATGCAAAGCAAGTGCTCTACCACTGAGCCACCTTGCCAGCCCTGCACTAGATTTTAATGTCCTCTTATTTTCCTCCTCTTTCCTCTGTATGTGAAATTCAGAACACACTGGTCAAATAGGTTGCCCTGCAATGCTACTTATTATCCAATGCTGTATTACCATTCTTAGCAAGGCATTTGTCAGACTTTTAATTTTCCCCCTTTTTGTGATTTTATTGCAGATCTCATAAATTAAAAATCTGAACATTACTTCTGAGTTCATCCCTGTTTATCTCATCTTCTAGGCAAGAAAGTAAAAATAAAATATTCAAAAACATATCCTCCCAAAGTTAAGGCTAAAAATTAGTGTAAGATTAAAACCACCAGTCTGACACCTTATGCAGAATTTGTTCCTCTCGAAGTATTACTCATATTCAAATGTGTACACTATATGTATACAATATGTATCATGTTTTCCAATATCAGACAGCAATTGTCAAGCTGTTGTCTACTGTATCTCTGTTTTGTGTGTTGTGGAGTTGTTTTACCTCCTCCCCATCGCAGGCATCTTGCTAGGTCATTGCCTGTCCCCAGAGGCAGAATAGCAACTGGAGGATGCTTGACTACATTGGCCTTTTCTGTGGAAATGAAAGAATTATAATTAAATATAGTTTGAGCCCAGAAAGAACAACAACAATAAAACCCCATAACCTAATATTAAACGAAACAATCCCACTAGGCACTTACACAAGAGATAAGATTTGATTTTCAAACATATAGTTACAAATGATCATCTTTTTATATATCATGATAATCAATAAAATACAAATAAACAGTACTATTCTCAAAATAAGAGTTTTCAAAGCTCATGCATGAGAAAAACGTTTAAATATTTTAACGTAGCTAAAATTGTACTCTCTGTGTGTGTGTGTGTGTGTGTGTGTTTGTGTGTCTGTGTGTCTGTGTGTCTGTGTATCTATGTGCAGCTCCATTAAAATCCTCAGGTAGGCAAGTCCACATACCCCAGAAATAAGGTTGTGATCAGAGTATAAGTCCTTTTGCAGTACCAACTATAGCTACATAATAGCATCTTTGAATGGCTCATAACCACAGTGTCATTTTATGTCAGGGCAGTGGAATACCCTACTAATGTTAGATATACTAAGATCAGACAATTTAGTTTCAATGAGATTAGCTGTTACATCACGTAAGTTCTTTGAGCTGAAACTGGTGTAAATTTGTGCCACTGAAACTTCAAATGATATTACTGAGCTATTTTATGTTTGACTGAACCTTCTTTATTTAATGTTTATTGTAAAGATGATGTACAGAGGGGTTACAGTTACATAACGCGGGTATTGAGTGCATTTCTTTTTGAACAGGCGCCCTCTCCTTCATTTTCTCCCAGTTTTTCTCTCTCAACTTCCCTTCCCATCAAGTTATATACTTCATTTCCAACATAGTGTCTCGGGAGTATCACTGCAGAATTAAATCCCTTTTGTTCCACTATTTCTATGCTTCTTCTTTCCATTCTGACTGGGGTGAGGTGGAATCTCAATGTTGTTTTAATTTGTTTCTTTTATGACCAGAAATTTTGAACATTTCTTTATGTGTCTATTGGCCATTCTTATTTCCTCTTCGAAGAAATATCTCTTTAAGTCTTTAGTCCACTTATTAATGAGGTGGTTATTTCTTTGAGGATTTGTTTTGGGGGGATTTATTTGTTTGAGCTCTAAGTATATTTTAGATATGAGGCTCTTGTTCGTTGTATGGGTAGTGAAGATCTGCTTCCAATCTGTTTATCTTGCTAGCTATATACTTTGCCATGCATGCAGAAGCTCTGCAGTTTAATGCAATCCCATTTATCCAACTTTTCTTTGATTTGTTGTGCTCTGGGTCTGTATTGAGAAAGTTTTGATATATACACAGTGGAGTTCTACACTTTTATCAGAAAGAATGACACCACCTCATTCATAGGGAAATGGAAAGACTTGGGAAAAAATCTTAAGACACAAAGAAACATAGGCTCCATGTTTTCCCTTGTTATAATAATTAGTATATGTCTAAGATAGTCCTAGCAGAGAATCATAATAGCTCTATAGCTATGTATATATGTGTATATATACATATATTCACATACATGTATAAAATAGATGCTTATAAAATAGATGCTAATCAAAATGAAACAAGAGGGGTTTTTTCCCCCTTAGTGTTCTGTATGCAGGTATTTCCTTTTTCTTTCTTTCATTTTTCCTTTGGTTTATCCTCTGTTGTCACTGTTTTTGACTTCGGTACCCTTTGTATCATATATAAGTTTATCTGATTTGTGAATGGGAAGGGGAATCACAACAATCGTGAGACAAAGGACAAAGGATGGAACAATGATGCTCCCAAGACACTACGTTGGAAATGATCTTTACAACTTGAGGGGAGGGAGAGAATCCGGGGAAGGAATCGTGGGAGAAAACAAGGGAGAGGGTAACAATGATCCATAAGAATTGTACTCATTTCCTTACTTATGTAACTGTAGCCCTTCCATATATACCATTACAATAAAAAATAAAAATAAAAAAATAAAAACATATGAAATTTTGGGAAAAAATATGCTTAGAGATGAACATCACTGTATCTATACCTGTATCTCTCTCTACCTATCTCTCTTTCTCTCTCTCTTTATCTTTTTGTTTTTATAACTCTCCAACTTGTCATTCACTGCGTGGATGCGTATAAGAGGGATTGTAAGTTTGGGATATTATATCACAATAGACTTCTGAGGGACAAATGAAGGAGAAACTCTCACTATTGTCATTATAATATATTCACAAATCAGGGGACAATTTCATTAACTTGGTAACTTGTCTAATTATCAAGTTGTAGTGTTTTTTTAATAGCTAGGATGAATAAATACTGTTTATGTCTCTTCTTGAAATGCCAAAATCAGAATCTCACTGATTATTTTATTTTAATCTTCCATTAGTAGATTAAAATAGATGCTTAGCAAAAGTTTGCTGATAACCTGTATTTGGTTTTAAATGGTCTTGTTTTGAAAGTAGATAGGGACTCTAGGCTGGGACACACAAAGGCCAGATATTTTTAGTATGAACATTTTTTCACTATATAAAAATAAATATTTTGATCTACATTTATTTTGATGCATAAAATAAAGAGAAATTTGTTTAATATTGTATAGAAAGCACAACACTTCTTTTGAATCAGTCCTTATTGTGACAGTGTCTATTTCTAAAGACATCAATTCAGCAAATATTTAGCTTGGATTTGTATTCTCATAAATGGTAATTCATGATCTGTTTTTCTGTCTAGTGATCAGTTCTGAACACACAAGTAAGTTTTCAGAATTAACAAGTTCTTCTTGTGTGACATGCTTAGCTTTAAATTATTATGCTGATCATCTCAAACTGTTTTAACTAGAAGGACAACATAGAATAAAGATAAAGTCTGTATTTTAACCCTAACTGTTTGTTTGCAACTACAAGACTTTGCTTCAATTACTTACTTTCTTCAAGATAATGGGAATAGTTTTACTGTAACAGGTTTAGTACAGCCTATATAATATAATGGTAAAGAATATATAAGGTGATTTATAATTATCTGATAATATACAAGTAACTTAGCTATGATGATGATGATAATGATGGTGATGATGATGATGATGATGATAACAATGATGGATGATGATGCTTCATACTCAAATTTTTTTTATTTAAATTTTTGTCAGTGGTGGGGCTTGAACTCTGGGCCTGGAAGCTGTCCCTGAGCTCTTCAGCTCAAGGCTAGGCTCTATCACTTGAGCCACAGCACCACTTCCGGTTTTCTGGTGGTAATCTGGGACTTTTCTGCCTGGGCTGCCTTTGAACCATGATCCTCAGATCTCAGCCTCCTGAATATCTAGAATTACAGGCATGAGCCACCGGTGCCCAGCCCTCAAATAATTTAATGTATCTATTTGTCACAGACTTTATTAAAAGGGTTAACGTCCCTTTTCCTCTCTGTCCAGGGTGAAGACACAATTAGACCTATTCTATTCCTGATGTAAAGATAACTCTAAAGGGTTAGTAAATGCTAATGGAAGAAGCAAAATTCCAACAGTAAAATTCTAATAGAGAAATGGACTGGAAAAGAAGTATTGATTTAGTGAAATTTCTAAATTATTATGTCAGATAAAATTCTGACCTAAGGAAGAAAAAATTGTACAATCTTCCAGATGGCTAATTATATCATTGCAATTGAAGATGTTGATGCTGCTAAATATAGATAGATAGATCATAGATAGATAGGATAGATAGATAGATAGATAGATAGATAGATAGATAGATAGATAGATAGATAGATAGATAATAAATAAAAAGAAACACAGACAGGCAGGTAATATGGTAGAATTCAGTGTGACAGTCTTCACTAAGCTATATTAAGTGTATGTCTTCATTACCTATGCAATCCAAAATCCAGCCCACAGTTCCATCGCCACCACATGCTAGCACTCTGAAGTCAGGAACATCTCGGAAAAAGTTTAACCTGAAAAAATAAGTATGTTGTGGCACATGATTGATATTTAAAAATTAAGACTTGTTCAATTTTTTCTTCTTAGACTTATCGTGAAATATTTTAAGAAAATGTAGATTTGTTGACATTCAAATGTATTTTAAGTATATAATCCTGATGGTATTCTTTACAATATTATATTAATATACATTCAAGCTTCTATGATGAATATTTTTCCTTTTAGAAATGCAGATTTTTTAAAGATCATAAATAATAATAATTTTCATTAAGCAATTCTCCCAGATGTGATTTAGACTCACATAATGCAAAAAGACATATTCTTTTTCTGTTTCACCAGTACTGTAGAAATTGATCAAGCTGCAATTGAGGCTTTATCTAATCATTTCAACATTTCCTTCAGATTTCCATTCTGCACAGAAGAGACAGACTTCAGCTTATCCTTTGACCTGGTCAACAGTGTTTACCACCCAGGAACACTCAAGCTTAATTGTTGGGTCAGCTGTATTAAATACTCACCACTCCTGCTGATACCACATGCAGGGCGCCAATTAAGGCAACCCACCTTGGGAAAAATCACAAAGGCAGGTGATACTGCCAGTTATGCCCTTACTCATGCCGATTTTATTGCAGGAAAAGAATTGGAACAGAATGGAAACTGTTGCCCCATTCCTGCTTTGCTCCAGAAATAACCACAAGTAATAATACAATATGTAACCAACTAAGTGAACTGACATTTGTAAAACGTTATTACTGCACACATATTTTTACATGAATCTGCTATACTCATGTGATCTTATTCTTGCTTGAAATGTTTCAAAGATTATGTACTGTCACATAGCATGTGCATATGGTATAAGTCAAACCATGCTGCGTCAGGATTGTTAAATGTCACATGATGATTTATAATGAGTACATGTATTCCAACATGAATAAATCATTTTCTTTCATAGACTTTTAACCTACTTCTGGAGTGTTACTATTACAAAAAATAAAAACACCACAGTTAATATTTGAAGCACACATGTGGGATATGTGTTTGAAGGCTACTCTAGGTGAAAATGTTCTGCTATATCACTATATCTTCCTGAGTGCCTCCCACTGTGGAATATATTTCAAAATCCTGGCAACCCCCAAAGAGTATATTTGAATATAAGTATGACATTTCTTAGATGATGAGTGAAAACATAATCTTGCTATTTTATGTCATATCTCACTTTTCTATTATTTAGTACTGGATTGTGCATGTTGATAGATTTCCTGGACTTCTTGAAGGTTTGGCCCTCTTTTCAATCGATTTGACTTTTAATGTTATTTTAAAATGCAAAGTATATGAAGTTAAATTAAACTCACCATCTCAGATAATATCTATAGATATTTAGAAGATGAAACCTCCATGTATTTTCTTATGTATTTGTTGTGAATATTTACCCTGGCATAGGTAACTTTCAAATATTTTCTTCAGATCTCTTAATACTTTGTTTGCTTATGTTATACATACTATAATAAGTGCTTACATATATTACCTTCTCTGGGAAGGAGAATGCTTCCAGACACTGACATCTACTTCTGAACCTTGTCCTATAATGCAGTGCAAGTTAAGCACTATTGTAAATATTGTGTTGATATGTAGCTATAATCAAGATACTGTTGTTTGTTTTCCCCACACAGCATTTATACTAAGAACCATCAGTTTTGTATCCAAAATTCTTTTCATGTGTGTTTTTATTTACTTCTACCCTTCTATGAAATACTACTTATGTGAAGCTTTCTTAAATCTATAGCAATGGGTATTTGCACTGGTTAGTTCAACATTCTTGTAAACATATATTCATGCTTTCAAGTGCTAATAAGCAGTGATTACTATCAGAGTAAAATGCAGTAACATATACAATAATACCACTATAATTATAACGATGCCACCAATATTACAATACCAATGTATTTCTCAAAGTAGATGTACCCATATACAGTAGACTTATTCCATCAAACCCAATCTCCCTAACACTTGTGCTGTAAATCATCTTTACATTTTTTCATGAATATTTTTCCCCTTGACTTTGCTATTTATTGCTCAGTATCAATTCCTTCTCTTTTTCTATGTACTATTCTTGGTAAAAAAAAAATATTCATTCTGATTCAGAACATTTTTATTCATAATTTTTCAAATATCATTTAGAATTTAAATTTTTCTCTCATTCTTTTGAATATAAAAGATTTTGGTTTCATTGTGTTTAAATAATTTAAACTTTTGATGAATGATTAATACTTTTTACCAGTCTCATGCCAAAAACAAAGTTTCTTACTTGGAGGTCAGAAATAATTTCTGCATTCTTGTAATGTTTCAATTTTTTTAACATATATTTTGGTGATAACATAGACATCTCTTTGCCTGACTTCCTCCCTTCCTCCTTCCTTCCTTTCCTTCCTCCTTCCTTCTTTCCTATTTTCTTCTCTTCCTTCATCTCTTCCTTTCTTCCTTCTTTCCTTCCTTTTTCTTATTCTATATTTTCTGCCCTCTCTTTTCCCTTTGTAGTACTGTACCAAACAGTTTTCTTCCTAGTAATTGTGATATCTCTTTTCTTACATTGAATTATTTGTTGTAGCAAAGTTAATTCTAAATTTATTTTATAAAAATAGAATTTAAAAACTCTGCTACTCTGTTTTATTAATAGATATGTTAGTCTATATAAAAAGATCTAACTCAGATTTAGTACATTGTTCCTGCAAGTCTGTGTTTCATTAGGCATAAGGACTCTTAGGCATTATGGTCTTTTATGTATATTTTAAAGCCAACATATAATAATACACAAAAAATAAAAATAAGATGAAATAATGATAATTGAACTGTCATTGGGTTAAGCATTGATTTTGAGACAAATAACATCTATACATCAAGTTTCCTTATCCACAAATAATTACTCTTTTAGCTTTCTTCAACAGAGTTTCTAAATTTCTGTTTATAAATATGGTATATGATTTGTTGTGTATTATTTTGCACTTTTGTAGGCATGATTATTTAAAATTATGTCTATGAATATTAATAATAAAATTTTGTTGCTAGTGTTGGCTATTGTATTTTGATTCTATGAACAGTCTATTGCCTATATTTTGTCTAAAGGATTGCTTCATTTTATATGTGCAGCTATAGTTTATGCTAATAAGAAATGGTATTAGGAATCTTTAAAATTATATAATCACATTTTTTCTGTTTAGCCTGGAGAGAATTCCAGTATATTGCTGCATACAAGTGTACATAGAGTTTCAAACCCTGATCCTTAGATTTCAGCTTCTTGATTAGTTAGGATTTTAGGCACAAGTCACCAACTTTTTTTCTATTCCCATTATAGTATTTTATCATAAATAAATTTTATATATAAATTTAGTTTCATGATTCAAAAGTATATACATGTTTATAAATCAATTCTTAAAATAAACATAAAACAATCCTTATAATACTTTCTTGCACCAAATTTAGTCCCTGTTACTAAGGTTGAAGAGAATTTCATTATAGTTTTTAACATTTTCTTAGAATGTTGGTATAGGAAATAATATTTTTATATCACTTCTAATTTATATCAACATTATATTGCTTCAAGAAAGAAGTTGCTGTGTGTACTATCTTTTACTTTGTTTATTAAAATGATTTTTCTAGTTTCTTTAAAACTGATAGCATATAAATAAAAAAAAATCATTCACTTTCTGGTGAGTCTCTTTTTATTATAGAGGACTTACATAATTGCTCAAATTCCGTTAATGATCATTGAAAAAGGTAATGCTTTTCAATTCTTCCTAAGTTAGGTATTACCAGTTGTATCTATTTCGCTCCATTTCAAACGAATGTACACTGTAGCTTCTGGAAGCTTTTGAAGCATGCCAGCAGTGGATGCATTTACCATAGAGCTGGTGGTTTCTGCTGAAAGCCTATCCATCCATGTGACTCACCATTGTTCTTCTACTCCATGATGCTGTCTCATCAGTTATTCATTCTTGTTTTCTTTTAAAATTGTCAGCATTGGTTCTCCAGCAGCATCCTACCCCCAAACATAAACCCCACGTGACTGTCAGAGCAGCTTACTCTATCATTGATTGCTAAATGGATGGAAAAAGTGACCTCACATTACCTCAATTTCTTAATCCACTCAATCCATGCAGTTTTCGCTAGGGATTCATTCATTCTTTATTTCATTCACTCATTGAATAGTAAGCTGGGAAATATAATGAAATCATGCTGAATCTCAGTTTGCTTATCTTTAAAATGGAATTAATATCACCTGCTTTGGAAGACTATTTACATTCATATAAACAAAATGCTTAGGTGGTGTATTATTGATGTTATTAATGTATCTGTTGTAGATCAGGAAATGGTTTTGCATTTTTTCAACTTTCTCATCCCCAGTATTTTGGCTGAATGGTCACAGAGAGAGTTTTGTAAAAATCAAAGCATGACTGGACAGCAAGAACAGGTTTGGCTACAATTATAAAAAATGGTCATTAGATAGTGGAGAAAAGAGCCTACTACCTAACTTGGACTGAAAGTCCAGCTCTGATCAAACACATCCAAGACATTTGGGAGAATCCCAATGCACAGTTCTCCATAGCATAAACATAACCAAGGAAGGCTGCATGGACCTGCAGCTGGTCATCACTGGGAAGGAAGGAGCAAGGAGAGAATACAGGTAGCAACCTGCATTGAAAGCACTTAACAATTTAAAGGGGTTCTTTTGAAAAGTTAACACGTATAAACATTTTACAATGAAAAAACTATGATTTGCTCCAAAAATATATTTGTGCTGATCAATGGTTAATATAAAATTATTATAAACTTCTAATAATATGAAGGAAATGAATGATGATTGAGTTGTTTTCAATGGTAGTCATTACACCCATGGTTCTCCTGGAACCTATAATTACGTTGGAAAGGGAAACTAGGCCAGTTGTTCCAGGTCAGATGTTCAAGGGGCCCTGGGATAGAAAATGTGAGTTATCCATGGTGAATTTCTGAGTTCACCTGT